ACAAAAGATTTCTATTTCAATTAAATGCTGTTCTTTTTTCTATTCATCAGTTTTGGAAAAAATGTATCACGGTTCTCAACACTGATAACAATGAGACATGTTTCTTAAGCAGCAAATCAGCATATTAGAATGATTTCTGAAGGATCATGTGACACTCAAGACTGGAGTAATGATGCTGAAAATTCAGATTTGCCATCACAGAAATAAATGACTTTTAAAAATATTAAAATAGAAACTGTTATTTTAAATTGTAATATTTCAAAATATTTCCTTTATTATTGTATTTTTGATCAAATAGATGCAGCATTGGTGAGCATATAAGACTCCTTTCAAAACCATTAAAAAAATCTCCAAACTTTTAAATGGAAGTGTACCCACAGATGTTTCCCCCAAAATATTGCACAATGCGATAACAGACTATACATTAAATGTATTTAATTATTATTCAATTATGAATCATTTTAATTAACTTCTTTTTAAATTAATTAATTTATTATTTTCAATGACATAAATATTTTACAGCTTAGTACAGCTATAAACTTTACGTAGTCCATGAATTTTCCAGGCATGGAAAAAACACTTTTTAAATTGTAAAATTGTTGGAGCCCTGAATAATTCAGATGGAAAAATGCAAAATAAATTAAGAGATACAGGGAAGGAAATATACATGGGGGGAGAGGGGGAACACTGAAGAAAAATGGGGAGACTTTGAAATTAGAGCTTAACTTCCTGAGGGCTCCAGGGAAGAAATGGGAGCTCATAATGTGCTCCATGCTAATAATCCATGATGAAATCAAAGCACAAGGAAGGTGAGGATTGGCTGAGAGGCATTCTCCACTCAGACTGTAGAACTTTTTCCAAGATCAGTGGCACCAAACTGCTCTCTAAAGCCCACTGTTTGCATGTGCAGTATGCTAGCAACACCAAGGTCATGGGTTCATTTCCCAGGGGATGCACTGGTAAAATTTAAAAAAATCTTCAATGCAATGCAAGTCATTTTCAATAAAACCTCTGACAAACACATAAATGTTCATGTAAAAACGAAAGGTAACTTTTTGCATGAACAAGCACCATTCTAATTTAATTAAGAAAATGTGAAAATCTAGTTATGCTTTTCCAGTTACAGGACGGTATCAAAAAACACATTTGAAAATGTCTTGGTTAAAGACAGTGATTTAATGAGTTTGACCGACCACTAAGTATTGTTTTTGAATCATGTGATAATATGTTACTGCACTCTGGCCAGTGTGTGCGTGTTTGGCGCTGCTGGAAACACAGACGAAGCACATCTGCCTGAAGCGCTGACTCATCACCCTCTCCAGAACGACACGTCCCTCTTTCCAACACAAAGCTTGGTGGGGTGACGAGAGTGAGAGCGAAAGGTGAAAGTGACACTTCTGTTGCATGTCACTTCCTGTCCAATGGGATACTCCTGTTTTGTTTTACTTGATGTAGAAAGAACATTAAAGTGACAGTTCCATGCACAGGAAGAAAATGTCTAGTGTAAATATTTAAATATGAAGTGGACTTAAAGAGAGGAAATCCGATGGTCTCTACCAGTCTGCTGCAGCTTCCACAGTTTCTGAGCTGGTCTAGCTATGCTGTATATGACTCCTTCATATTTTGTGTTCAGTTCATAGTTCATTCTGACAGTCAATGTGTAAACCTGCTTTATCTACAATAGGTTATTCGCATTCACAAAGAAAATGCACATTATAACCAAACGGATCTTTCGCAATGGCTAAAAATGATTAGTTTAGGTAGATCCACACTTCCAGCTGTAAACTGACTGCATCCAAACCCCTGACCTTCATTATCATGTCAAGAAAGGAACATCTACTGTACAATACTTGTGACATGGTAGGGTTTAAATGGCTCCTAGACATCTTTAAAGAACAAGTATTTAGTTAATACTTGTGTCTAGTATTGGCTCGACTACAGTATAAATATAATTTCTATCAATAGAAACTCCATAGTATAATTATTCGGATTGGATGGAGGTAGATCTTAATGAAAGCTTGCAGTCGATTGTAAAAAGGGGCAGAGTTTATATGAACAAAATGACAGGAGAAATCCAGCATATGACACCAGAAAGAAGTCGTTTTATGACATTTAAAAATTACACGGTAAAAAAGATAAATGAAAAAATGAAACGCATGCATGAATGAATTGTCGCGATGAAATCAATAGCATGCATTTAGAAAATATACTACCAAAAAAGGATTTACTTAAACAATTTTCAAGCAGAGTTTATATGAACAAAATGACAGGAGAAATCCAGCATACGACACCAGAAAGAAGTCGTTTTATGACATTTAAAAATTACACGGTAAAAAAGATAAATGTAAAAAATGAAACGCATGCATGAATGAATTGTCACGATGAAATCAATAGAATGCATTTAGAAAATATACTACCAAAAAAGGATTTACTTAAACAATTTTCATTCAGAAATTGCTGGTAAATTTCACAAATAATTACAAAGAAACAGCAATAAACACATTTAATTAAATGTGAAATTTTGAAGTAGAAAGACTAAAACAGCACTTTCTTGTAAAATGTACTCAAATCATCTTTATTTACAACTATTTTTCACAGTGTATATAGGGTGAATTTCTATTTCATGTCAAATTTAACGCTACTGTAAGTAATCAATCAATTCATTCAAATCTTGATTCTCAAAAAACCTGACACAGCAATATGGGCACAACCAATGTGTGATTTCGGGATGGGACTTTTCGAAAACATTCATTACTTTTGTCATTCTGGTGAAATTACACATTTCACCTTTAATGATGCATTGTAGTACTGTGAAAGTGAAGTCAAGTGACTTACCTCGTCTCTATAAGATACACTGTATAAGTCTCCTGCATGTTGACGGCATTCTTCCCAGTCCTCTTCTCTGCTTCAGCCACACTGATCTCCATCTTCTTCAGAAGACTTGTCCCTTTTTCAACCATCTGTAAATTTTGGTCCAGAGAATCCCCAATGTTCAATACCATTACAGTACCATTATGATACGTTCAATGCAAAAAACAAAAAAACAAAAAAAAAAGGTTGAGGACACTTTTCGATACTGAGGTTGAGATTTTAGGTATTACATTTTTAAAAAGATAATGATGTCTATGCTTTGAAGATCTTATTAAATGGGTTGACGAGAAGAGTTTTCTCTCCTGTGTTGACATATTTCCTTCTGAAACAGGAAGTCTAGACATATCAAAGAGTTCCTCCCTTTCCAAAATAAAAAAAAAAAAGGCCAAGAGTCTTTAATTTATATCTCTGACCTGAACCATGATCAGTTACCTTTTATTGTTAGGCAGAGGCAGGTGGTATAAAAAGGAAGGTATTTACAAGTTTGTGTGAAATCTCCTGCTTCCATTTTCTCACAATATTAAATGTTTTCCATGCTAATAGTATTGCTCAGTACGAGTAAACACCATCAGATACAAACATAATGTGACCAACAAATATTTATTATAAATCTAGACAATGAATTAATGAATAAATGGAGACTGGAAGATGGTTTCACACTGATTTTCAGCAACTTGACAGGAGGTTTTAAGTTTTACGTGCAATAATGTCATAATATTGATAAAAAGAAAACCAAATTAAATGATACATTTGAGTTAATAACACTATTGTGATCATTTCTGATCACTTTCTCAATGTAAGTTGCTATATTAAAAAACTAATAGAAGATATTGGACATATTTTGTCCCATGTCTCAAGCATCGGCCCATTAAAAAATTCAACTATGGAGCGGTAAACAAGATCTATTTGCTGATATATCGATAATCTACAGACTTGAAAATAACAGAATATTCAATATGATGCGGACTGACGTTCGTTATATGAGTGTATGAGACACTGGGTGTTTACAAACTAACGTTACGTGGCAAAGGCTCTTCATTGACCGCATAAAGTGAAGCAACTTTCTACGTATGTGGCTTTACATAAGCATTCTTTATTCCTTATTCTTTTAATTCATAAACACTGTAATTTAAAAAAAAACAACAACAACATGTATGTAGTTCATGTAATGTGTTCGCAGAACCTGCTGATATTTTAGCAATACTGACATAGCCATTCAGGAGCCAAAGCAAAACACTGGACACAGATCACGCGCTGGCGCACGCGACATCTACAAAACAGCACGCCGCATAAAAACAATCAGCTATGGACTTTACCGTGTTCTTTAAGTTGTTTTCCGACTCCAAAGGAGTCAGATCTGTGTTTCCAATCACCGCTATATCCTCGCTTCCTGAATCCGCCATGGTTTACAGTCTCGCGCTTGCGCGTTGGCCACTTTCACTATTTGGGCGTCTGTGCGCGTGCACGCGTGCGTGACAGCCTACAGTGAAACATAAAATGGCATAAATGTTCTTTAAAATTCATTCTCGGTTGAAATTATTGAGATTAATTTAAAGAGTGGCTTATGAAAGGATGTGAAGCAAAATATATATATAAATTAGGTCTATAAATAGCCTAATAATAATTAGGCTATAATAAGCTACTTTCATTAGAATGATTTTAGCTGATTATTTCCTAACTTTACCTGATAAAATAGTTCAAGCATAGTTCAAGTATTTCCTAACTGTGTTTAAAAGTCTCAAAATCACACTGAAATTATTTTTGAATATATTCAGCCTACATTTACAAGAGTTGTAGCGTCACAGCAAAATTGCGCTGAACCTGTCACTTTTTCATATTTTTTCCTTCGTTTAAATTATGCCTGTTGTTATTATTATTATTATTAGCCTATTATTAGACTTTTATAATTATTGAAAGAAAGAAAGAAAGAAAGAAAGAAAGAAAACAAAATTGCTGATAGACTGCACGAACATTGTACTTTTCACTACAAGCTGGTTCATTGTTACTTCTGTATACATTGTGAATCGTGCATTGATAAATGTGAGTTCCTGGGCGGATCCGCTCTCACTCACATCTGGATTAAAAACATCTGGATCCGCCTACACGGAACTCAGTCACACACACACATACACAGTCCTGAACTCTCTTACAGATGAGCTTATCTGTGACTTTGACACGAGCAGATCAAGAAAATAAAGGCATCGCTTCAACGGTTTGGGATCCTCGGATTGTGAGATATTATGGGGCGCGGAGGCTGCAGTGTGTGGGCTCAAACATCTGTTCTTCTGTGTTTCTGTCGTGAGTAGATCTTCACTTCTCTTGATGCTTTCATTGTCTGGAGGCTCCACGCATCAGAGCTTTGTCTTCGAGATTGTGTGCAAAACTTATTTGACAATGATAAGAAATATCTAATATATCTAAACACGACAGAAATCGATTTTACTCTACTCAGATATGGATTGCCACAACCTGGGTTAAACATCTTGGTTAAACAGTTTATTTGAAGTTAGATTCTTGTGTTGACAATTAAACTTACTTCCATGGCATTGCATGAAAAACAATTCTTTTGGTTTTCTGAGATGCTGCAAATGCAAGTTCAAGGGGATCCCAGAATGGTTCTTCTTTGGCATCACTGTGAAACCCAGTTAATATTAAATATTTATACACTATTAGTCCTTGTTTTGAGCCCTACTTGAATTAAAATGTCAAATTATGACCATATCTGTATTGTAAAAAATATTTTAAAAGCTAAAGTATATCACTTTAGAATATATAATATCCATCATATATTCTATATATATGTTTGACATCAGTGAAAACCTTTGTATTTTCAGAACAAACGTAAGATGGAAAAGTATACTAAAAGAGATCCTCATACATGACTATGTTGTGAAACTGTACACCAAGAAACACTCTTAATTAAAAACAGAATCTCAATGGGCATAAAAGATGCCACGCACTGTGACCGCATGAAAACAACACGATGCTAGGAAAGTTCCAACAAGGAAACCAAATCTTAAGAATCTAAATGATCTTTGCACATGCAGCAGGGCCTCCTTAAACGGGTTGGGTGTGTATAGAGTAGCTCCACTTACAACAACAATTATGAACTATTACCATGTGAGTGGAGAGAAGAAAACCATCACCTCTCAGTCTCACTTATCATTTACCATCTGTTGCTTGAAACACCTCTGAGAAAAAGCTGGGTAATATGGAGAGGCCGCTAGTGTAAGTGTGTGCGACTGTGACTAGAGACACTGTACATAAAAATACAAAGACATGCATCTAGGATCCCTTGATGCATCTCTCTGCTTTGTCATCATGATTGCCCACAATGGCAATATTGTAATGACTTAAACAGAGGGTGTGATGCTGACAGGGCCTAACCCAACCCCAATGACCGCTCAGTGGACACAGACACTCCTTTTCTCCTTTGTTTGCCTTGAGTCCAAGAAGTTGTTCTTAGTGGGCATGGGTTTGCATGGTACCCGTGGAGGAGAGGCATCTTGTTTTCAATGTTGATAAATGGTTGATTCTTATTATTTGGTATGAGATAACAGAACATTTCACTGGCAATGCAGAGAGATTGTGTCTTGTAAGTCTTGTAGTCAATTATTTTAACATTTTGAACAGCAGATCTACTGTTTTGTCATTTAAAACCAATTTTAACTGATACAGTATCATTTTATAATATAAAACTGCTTAATATATACATAAGTATTTGCTAAATATGTTTAATATACATTAAGCAATTATATACTTTTTGGTTTATTATTGTATTATATTATTATTACAATTATGTTTTTAATTTACTTTTATTATACAAAACTGCTTAAAATACTGCTTATATGTACAGTATATGTAGTTATATGTATGTTTTACTATTTAGTGTTTTAATAACACCCCTGAGGGTGGTACTAGAAAACATCCCATATATTATAAATTATACCTGGCATAAGATGTAGCATCATACTTATGAATTACAAACAGGGAACAAGAGGGCAAACTTGCTTGAGTGCAAACCAAATAATCGCAGGCCAGCATCTCTTGTAAGCATGCAGCCATTGGTTTTCCCATAAGCACTGAGGGGTTGTGCCTCAAACTTGGCCAGTATGAGTGCTCCTGGCTTCAATTTATTTCTGGAGCAGTTGCTGCAGAGTTTAATTACTTTAAAGTTTATAGAACGGGGGCTTTTGTGCTTAGCCTTAAGTTTTTTCTTCTTCAGTTTTTCTCTCTTTCTCTGTTGTCTCTATCTCCCTTCATGCGCCTCTCCCCCTCCCCCTCTCTGTTGTATATTTTGATGGTTGGCATCAGCGGACATCTGGAAGTCTGTGTCTCTGCTCTTTCCTTTAATACTGTTTACTGTAAAGTCGCTGCTCTCCTTCAGCAAAACGGCTCCCACCCCTCATCTGCTTTTAATAAACAATTAATATTGTCATGATGTGGTAGTATCAGGACAGAGGAGACAGTGTGCGTGGGAAGGAATTCAGGCTTATCCCACTTAACCACAGGAACTCCTGACACTCTCATGAATACACATGCTTTCAGTGATGTGTGCACCAAACCAAATACACCCCAGCACACACATATACACACACCAGGCCATATACTACATTCATCCAAATCCAATTAGAGATTTATGAACTCCAGATGGGTCACGTAGCTCAAAGATTTGCTCTTTAATACCGTCTTGATTGCAGCTGTCATTACAGCTTTCATTCTTATAACTCTGCATTGCAATCCGTTTCATCATTGGACCATTTTGACTGCTTTTACTGCACTCCTTAGTTATTTGTGTTTTTAGGCAATACATTTCCCAGGGCCATCATATACACTTTTTTTTTACACATTTCTTTTGAGTTTAGGCCTAATTTATTATTATTATTATTATTATTATTTTATTTATGGTCATACAACTTTCTTGCAATTATGCATTTTTCATTACCTTTATTAATTTTTGTGTTACGTTTATTAAATGAGAGACTGCAATGAATAATATTTATATTATAAAACAAAAAAAACATTCTGCATACCAAAAATATATTTTTTAATTCATCAGCTGATTGTAAAACAGCTAAAAGGTGGTGGAAAAAAAACAAACACACTTAAACATATTCTGTACATATTTACCATGTTATATATCATTATCATCATTATTTGTCAGCTACCTACAGTACACTATAAGAAAAATGTACTAAATGCTGCCTAGTATTTTTATACTGTGTAAACTATGAAATCTTGTCAGCTGTCCTTATTGCAGTGTTGCAGGCGCAGAGTTTCACCCTCATAAAGACCAACCTCTGTAAGTGGTGTGACCACTCAAGTCCTGTATGTGAAGACAACGTCTGCATGAGCAACTGCAGTCTGACCTCTTACTGTACTCTGGCTGAAGAAGTGTGCGTAGCGATATGGTAAGTCCATAGCTAAATCTGAAGCATGCATATGTGACATGCATTAAAAATTGAGTTTGATAGTGTGAACTTTGTTCTCTGTATGAATACACAAGTATCCCTGTTCTCACACACTTAAATAGCTTAAAATCTCAGCAGAACTTCTGATAACTTCAATAATAGTTTTTTTTAGAGGCAGCATAAATGCCTATATAACTACTGTAACTACTATGTACAGTATTAAACAACAATAAACAACATATGTCATTCATGTACAGTATTTATTTTTATAGTATACTGTACTGACAAAACGAATAATGTGCATCTTTTAACTACACATCGTCATATGAACACTCAGCAACTGCACTGATCTAATTAGTTGTAAGTTAGTTAGTAGTTAATTGATTGTAAGCTGCATGTGTTTGATTCACTAAACAGAACTGGCCCATTAGAGTAATTTATTTTGTTCGGTAGTTGGTGTTCACTGGTTGCGCTTGATGTTTTTGATTTATTAAAAAGAGCCCTCAGACTGTATTTATTTGATTCACTAAAACGAACCGGCCTATTGAAATAAAGCAATAAGCCCCAAGAAGCTGTGGTTTACAGTGAATTTATAACAGCTAAGGGGCGTTGTTAAGCTTGACGTGAAGCGGAGTTATTCCATATACGTAGTAAGGTTTCACAAAATAAAACAGAGCAAATAAAGTGTAATGATATTAATAAAAACATTATTCTTCCGCCAAACAATGTAGTTCCTCAGAATCGGTTGTGGTTGCAACAAAGTGGTTGCCAAGCAACACACAAACGTAAACAAAGGTGTATGTTTGTAGAGTAATTTACAACAGCTTCGAACGTGGCTCAGCCAATCAGAATCAAGGACCGGAACTATCCGTTTTATAATCATTTATTTTGTTCGGTAGTCAGACTTTCCTGGTTGTGCTAGATGTTTTTGATTCATTAGAAAGAACCTCAGTCTGTATTTGTTTGATTCATTAAAAACAACCGGCTCAATAGATTCATTGGTTCGGGAGTCGGACTTCAGTGGTTGCGCTAGATATTTTAATTTTGATTCCTTAAAAAGAACCGATTTATAAGACTAATATTAATCACTGGCCACGCTTACTCTTTTGCACTGCACAACTCAATAAATAGTACAGAAAACTCTGTCAAGAATATTTCAGTATGGTGTTCATTAACAGAAGAATCCACATGTGAGTACCATTATCTGGATAAAATATGTTCTACAAGGTTTGCAATTAAATTGGCAGTACGTTTCAATACAGTTGCACTGAATATGGACTTGGGATATGGGAATATGGACTGTGGTGTAATATGGGTCGCTTTTTAAGAGATTTCCTTCTAAGCCAGTTCCATCCTGCTCAGTCTATGAACAGCTTCTTGGAGAAGCCAATCGAGGTGAACTCTGAGTGACTGCAGTAGAGGCAAGCTGTGCATAAAAAGAGAGGCTCTTCTCTGAGGGGTCAAACAAAGACTCCCCTAATGCTGGATTAACAGCAAACACATTTATAATCCTCAGAAAATTTTAGACTCTGGCATAAAGAACAAAGTGCACCTCTGAGCAGGGATTCCCTGGTTAAATTTTATTCTACATTTCATCAGAGGAACATAAAAAGACTTTTTTCTTGAGCCTGTGTTTATCTTTCTGAAGAATCGGGTCACTTTTTTGACAACTGAAGGGTTTTTTCTGTCGTTATTTTTTTTTCCTCACAGGAAGAAGGACAATGCGAGCGTGAGTGTGCGGACACTGTGTTATAACCCTCAGGATATGCTGGAGAACATAATGCTGGCAAACTACTCCTCCAAAGAGTGTTTGATGACACCTCAGCACTCTGAAGATGGCCTGCTCTTCATCTGCGGCTGTATCGGAGATCATGAGTGCAACGACAGACTCATCTTCGACAAAGGAGTCAATGGTGTGTTCAAATGAATGTTTCAGCACTGCTAACATTTTTGGCCAAAACATTTTGCCTTGCGATACAAAACCATGGCTCTGTTCCAAAACCCAGTGAGCTTCTTAATGTAGGCAGTATTTTAAGGTATTAAAGCTGCATTATTATGACTATGCTGCCTTGTAAAATTCCTTATTTTGTCCAAATTCTAAGGAAGCATCATAGCTTTTTTTTTTTTCATAGAAGGCAGCTGCCTATGTACCAAGGCATTTCTCTGAGGTCTGGAACAGAGCCCATGTGTGCTATTATATAATGATTCCCCTTTGTTTCCCAGGATTCTCAAAGCTGAAGTCTAAAGACGTCATTCCAGTAGTAGTCATAAGCCTGGTTCCACCCCTCCTGGTAGCTGTCATTGCTACCATGGCTTTTTACCTGTACCGCACACGTCAGCCTGGCAAGAAACCGAAAGACTGGGGGCCACGACGCACCCACTACCAGTCTCTAGATCCAGCCGAGGGCCAAGTAAATGGTAGCAATTACCGCGGCAAGCTGCCGTCCCTCAGTGATGGCGTCAATTCAGAAATCTCTTCGACTTGTGCAAATAACCTAAACCACAACACAGAGCAGCTGCCCATCCAGCTGGAGACGCTGGTGGGTAAAGGGCGCTTCGCAGAGGTATGGCGGGCACGGCTCAGTCACAATGAGGGTGGGCAGTATGAAACGGTGGCTGTGAAGATCTTCCCGGCGGTGGAGTATTCCTCATGGTGTAACGAAAGGGCCATATTCTCTGACGCCAACTTAAAACATGAGAATATAGTGCAGTTCCTGACTGCTGAGGAGCGAGGCGGTACTGCTGCCGCCCCCCAGAGGCAATACTGGCTCATCATGGCTTATTATAACATGGGCAACCTTCAGGACTTTCTGACTGGTCATATCCTCACATGGACTGAGCTGTGTTCACTGGCAGGCTCTGTGGCGAGAGGCCTGGCGCACCTGCACAGTGACACAACACCCTGCGGCACACCAAAAGTGCCCATCGCCCACAGAGATCTGAAGAGCAGCAACATTGTATTGAAGAACCACAGCGAGTGTGCGCTCTGTGATTTCGGACTGGCTCTACGACTCGACCTCTCGCTCACCGTAGATGACTTTGCCAACAGTGGACAGGTAGGAAGGAGGGGCAAAATATTGGCTCCGTTTCAAAACCTAATTGAGCTGCCTTGGTGTCTGCTGCCTACATAGGCAGTTGCCTTATAAGGCAGCATCCTAGATGAAATTGAACCTCATAAGTCACTGATGTTTGTAACACTCCATGTAGTTTTTTGCTTGCTAAACCTATGACACAATACGCTGATATGCATATGTACAGCACACAAAAATATTGGGCAAAATAGTGCATTTTTAATTATACTTCATTTTTACCAATACTTTAATGTATAAACTCTAAATGAAAATAAGTACACTACTGTTCAAAATTTTGGGGTTGGTAAGATTTTTTAAAGTTTCTAAAAGAAATTTCTTATGTTCAACCAAGGCTGCATTTGTTTGATTTATATACAGTAAAAAACAGTCGTCAAATATTATTACAATTAAAAAATAAATTACTACTTTAATATATTTGTTAGAAATTAA